ACTTAACAGAGCTCCATTAAGGACTTAACAGAGCTTTGTTAAAGCCTTAATAAAAAGAAAATTTTGAAAAACTATGGGACAAACCGTTTCAGACACCCGAATTGGGTCATATCTTTATTTGATGTAAAAACACGGAGTGGACCACTGTGCAAAGGCTATAAAAAGACCAGACTTTTTAGTCTGTTCCAGAGAAATGTTTGTTATAAAGAAAAGGATTCCTCATCACCGTGGGGTTGAACTTGGGTCGCTGGAACCAGACAAATATCCGGCGCACGCGGCTCCTCTAGGCTATATTCTTTAACAAAGCTCTCTCTGTTAAGGACAACAGAGCTCTGTCAAGTAACTGTCTTCGGTTACCATCCAATTTAACTTTCCAATTTATCTTCACACCCATTGGAGAACTCCATGCAAATATTCGAGTCGGCCATGCATCAAAATGAGGGATGTTGTTGGCTGTCACTGCCTATCAAATACAAAGCCCATGATTTAGTAGACAAAAATCAGGGTGTCGAAAAAAGCATAGTTCATACAATTCGTCTTGTGCTGGCCTTTAATGTATACCCATACAACAAATGGGCATAATAAAGATAATTATTATCTCATGTTTTGAGATAGAGTGAGAGAGAGAGAGAGAAGTGTTGAGAGAGAAGGCGAGAGATACAAACACGTAGTTAGGGAATTGCCCGATATTTTACGAACCATGGTACAAAAATACAGCTAGACCCAAAATAATAAAAATGAAATTTTAGGATAGAAAATTAAAAACCAAATACGTTTTAGGGTTAAAAACGAAGTACTGCATTTGTGTTAAAATTCTTCCACCAACCAGGATTGCAGAAAGGATGATGGCAAAGATAAACATATGTATGAAAGCTCTATTTTTAGTATACCTCCACCTTGGTATATTAACTTTGTCATTCCGTTTGTAACATCTCTAAATATACATCGTAGACCCCATAAAGTAAAGTATATATTCATAATTCTAAGTCGATTTAACGATGTTCGTCTGTCTGTCTGTCTGTCTGTCTGTTGAAATCACGATACAGCTCACATTATATGACGTACAGCGTAAAAATTTACCAGAACAATTTATACTGTGTCTAGGATTGTTGGAATTTAAAATGAGATATATCGGTCCATGTACCTTCCACGGTACCTTCCGATATTCAGTATTTCGAAGAATTTTGCCACATTTTTTTCACAGATTTGTCTGAAAATTGGTATTTGTTGGCCATAATGGGTTCTAGCTTCTGTGGCGAAACAATGTATGTATAGGTCCACGTTTTGGTATAGCCCCCTTATAACGGTACATCCAGATGTTCGCTATTTTGTCACATTTTTCACGGATTTGTCTAAAAATTGGTATTCTTAGGTGATAATTGGTCCTAGTTCGTGTGGCGAAACATTGTATGTATAAGTCCACGTTTTGGTATAGCTCCCATATAACGCTACCTCCCGATATTCGGTATGTTGACAATTTTTGCCACATTTCTTCACGTATTTGTCTAAAAATTGGTAATTGTAAGCCCTAATGGGTTCTACTGTTTCATTTATCCTAAGGTGGAGGATATTAAATGTTCGGCCCGGCCGAACATAATGTTTTTTTTTTTACTTATTCTATATCCGGAAAACATTTGCTTCAATTTTGCCAAAAACAAAAACCCGCGAAAATTATACCTCTTTTTAGCGCTTTTTTCTGCGTGTTTTTTCGAGTAGATGCATAAAAGTAACACAAAACTTCATTGTAGAAAAAAATATTTCAAAAGAGGAAATATTCTACATCAAATTTCAACACAAATCTTCGAATAAACTATATATCTGGGCATAATAGTTTTGAAGAAAACTACATTCGAAATTTATGTATTAAAAGTGGAAATCAAAAGAAACCCATTTTGGAGTGTTAATTTTATGCGTCTAATCTGAGTCGAAATCTTGCAGAATACTTAAATTTTTAGGTAAATTAGAAAAAATTGTTTTCCATTGAATTTGACTGTATGCCACAAAAGGAAAGAAAGTTCTGTTTCCATAATCTGTCAAGAAAATATTGGTTTCAATTTTACAAAAAAAAAGAAAGCACCAGAAAATAAGTCTTTGTGAAAGAAACACAAAACTTCGTTTAAGACAAAATATTTCAAAAGTGCAAACATTCTACATCAGATTTCAACGCAAGTATCAGAATAAACTATATGTCGAGGTATAATAGTTTTAAAGAAAACTACATTCGAATTCGGGGTTTCAGTCCAAATCTGTTTTAACGACTTTATATAGAATTAACCATACACAAAAAGGCGCCAATATTTTTAGCTAACTTTCGCACAACTTGGAATAGAGTTTAGTAATTTGATAAAGATATTCGTTTTTAATCTAAATACGGCGATACAAAATATGGGTCATATCCCACTTGGTGGCATAGCCTCCATGTAACTACTTTATTTTTAAGTTTTAAGGGTATTTTCCAAGTAATATCGGAAAATGTTCGCATTTTATATACTTCGTAAGTAGAAACTCTCTTTGCAAAATATTATCAATGTAGGTGTGCCCTTTGCAACTACCTGTATTCATGTACAAAAGGCACGAATGAATGTTTGCACTGGATATATATGTGTGTGTGTGTTTCATGAGCATTGCAAATTTGTGAGATAATAAATAAAGAAGAGTTGCCACCTTGTCGATGACATTTGGTATTGGGGAATTTTGTTGTTATGGGAAATTGTGAAATAAATCATCGATCGATAACAACTCACATCGCTGTAAAATAAGTATAACAACATTTTAGATAGAAAGAATGTGATATGAAAAACAACTTCTGCAGTTTTTGTAAATTATTCAAATGCTCGATTTTTTCTATACTTAAAAATTTTAATCGAAATTTCTATTATCGAATCGCATTTTTATATTTATTATTTTTTTTAATTTTTAAATTATTATTTTTTTTTATTTTGTAAAATGTTTGGTTAATAAATATGTTTGAAGTCTTCAGTTCAGAAAAAATTAATCGATTTTTTTTCTTTCTAATTTTTGTTTTCTTATTTAGAAGTAATTTTTTTTTTCAAAGGAAACTTTTGTTGCTGTCGATTTTTTTATTAAAAATAATTATTGAAATTTCTTTTATCTATTTCTATAATTTTTTACCGCCTTTTGATAATTTTTCTGTTATCATTTAAAAGTTTATAGTATATATATATAAAACCACAGTTTTTAATTTTTTTTTTAAATTTTATTGAATAAAAGCAAAATATGTCGGAAATAGCATCAAATTTTAGAATAAGTTTAGATTTGTTCGAAATGGTCACCTTTGGCACGAATTATGGCCTTCAAACGGCCAATGAAACCCGTCACACGCTGCCCGAATGTTGTCCTGCGGTATTTTGGTCCATTCCCGGTGAAGCGACGCGCTTGCTTGAGGTGATCGACACTTTGGTATTTTTAGTGCCAACCTTGCTTTTCAAAATACTCCAGACACAATAGTCCAACGGATTGGTATCCGGAGAGTTTGGTGGCAATTGTGCGCTGGAAATGAAGCGAGGAACCTCATTTTGTAACTAACTTGAGTGAGTCCTGTTGGAATGTAAAAGGTCTGCGGCCAAAATGTTTAAGTGCCCAAGGCTTTAATACTCCCTTCAGAATATTTTCGCCATAATAATAATAATATTCGGCACTTCTTCTGATGCCACGGTCGATTATGGCGGCCCACACCATCACCATGGGTTCTGGTGGCCAACCGAAGGTGCACATTTTCAGCTGATCTCTTTGGCAGGTAAACACAATCTTTTTTTTTGTTTACAAACTGCTGGACAACGAATTTTTTCTCATCAGAGACGGAGAAAACCAAATTCGGCAGTTCACCATTTTTGAACAAGCCAAGCAACTTTTAAGCTGTTTTCAGTTTATTTTCTTTCTGTTGCGGTGTAAGTTCTTGCACTTTTGGAATTTCAATGGCTTTACCCCGAGCTCATTTTTGAATATTTGCCGAATTTGCCGAGCCATTTTTCGGCCACTGTGACACGGGTTTCGATCAAGTCCCTTCTTTACTTCTCGAACCATTTCTGCTGATGTTGCTGTTTTCTTCCGTCCACTTCCTCGACATATGTCGGGCTACGCTACTCACATTTAAATTCTGGAGTGTTCTAACGATAGCCACTTGTGGTTTTCCAGCCAAATATAAAGAAATCACACTATCACGCTTGAATACTATCACGAATAACTTTGTTTCTGGAAAATGCTCACCAAAATGCTTTTGTACGCTTGTAAACCATATAATGAGCTGTCACTGGAATAATTTTAACAGCAGTCGGACGTGTGGCTTAGAAATGACAGCTGTCTGAAGTTGGTTGCAGTTTTTTATTTTACCCTGTATTTTTTGAAGTTTCTAGTTTTTTTTTACATTTTCATCATTTTTTTCGAATTTTCGAATTTTTTCGATAAAAAATAAAACAATCGATAACGTTGAAAACCAAAAAATCAATTGTTTACAAAAATGTCGCTAATTTTTATTTTGTTGCCAATTTTCCAATGGGTAAAAAAAAAATTTTAATGAATAAAAAAGCAATCAGTTGTTTGCATTTTTATGAAAAAGTAGATTATCGATTTTAGTTATCTTTTTTAGCAAACTATTTTCTTGCAATAATTTTTTTTTATCGAAAAAACAGGTTTGTTGAAAAGTTCACTTGAAAAAATTAGCATTTTCCAAGTCGATTATTATTGAAAAATTGTTTATCAAAATATTTGTTATTGTTTTTTTTTATTTTAAAATTTTTTATTTATTTATTTGATTTTTCATGATACATTTTTGATTTCAAATCTAATCTCGATTTTCACATACGATCCGGCAACACCACCTTTATACAAAAAAAATTATTAGTAAATAAATAAACATAACAAAAAACTACGGACAATTCCCTCTCTAGCTATCGAATAAATTGATTGTCGCTGTACAGCCACGAACGAACGCACTCAGTTCTGCGAAGTACACCAAGTGACTCACAACACAGCCATTCGCGATCCGTTGCCACAATGGAATCATTTTTAAACAGTTCTTTGCAAATACAAATACAACCAAAACAAAATTTTCATTTTCGTTTCGAAAGTGAATTGAAAAATACCCACGGCTTTATAACGGGACGAGTCGCATCAGTGACGAACGGTCGGAATTGCTCAGTCCGCGATATATATCCCAAAATCCAAATGAGATTACCGGACAGTGCCAATCTCAACGACAATGGAAAGGTGAGACAGTTCTTTGTCTTATGCTCACTACACTCGTACAACGAGGAGAAGATCGCCGAGAAGAAGCCGCTTCACCTGTCGCCACACCTCCTGTTGCCCAAGAGTAAACGTAAAATTGACTATGCGTTCGTTTTTGAAAAGATGAAGTATTGCCAGCACGATGTGGCAGGTAGGTATTGGGAGCTCGTCGGTCATGTTATTGTGCGATCTGGAAAGAAAAACAACAAATATGGGGAGACGCTGCGGGCGAAGCAGCTTAAATACGAATCGTTGGGATTGCCGCTGCCATTCGATAAGCTGCAGGGCGATTTGGATTTGAATGAAATCACTCAAAGTGCCGGCTTAATTGTAAGTACAAGTCGATATGGGGACCAATCTGTAAAATCTGCTGAAAAGTGTTATCAAGAAGCACACATTATCCTAGAAAAGTTGTTCGACGACAAACACTTTCCGCAAAAAAAAAAATGGTTTCGACAACAACCATTTCTAAAGACATAAAATAGATTTAACGATAACATCGCTTTTAATGGAACAAACAACATCGTTTTCGATCGAAAACAAGCTAAAAAAAGGTATCAGTCGGTTTTGCGACAGATGTATACCCTCAGCTTATGTTCGATTATTTAATTTTATTTTGAAGTATGTTATAATTATTCAAATTCTTCTCCGCAGGAATGGGCCAATATTGTCCATGTCATATCGAACCTAAATAAATATTATAAAAATATATCGACGTGCCAGGTGTGGACTATATTGGTGACTTCCTTCACTTTATATGAGATATCTTATAATGTTTTTTCAAAAATGTTAAAATACAGGGTGAGTTGAAAAAAAATGCAACCAACTTCAGACTGCTGTCATTTCTAAGCCACTCGTCCGTCAGCTTTTAAAATGATTCCAGTGACAGATCATTATATTGTTTACAAGCATACAAAAGCTTGAAAAATGTCTCGTGAGCTCGACTCGACCAGACACAATGTCTGGAGCATTTTAGAAAGCAAGGCTGGCACTAAAAAATACCAAAGTGTCGATCAACTCAAGCAAGCACTTCGCCGGGAATGGTCCAAAATACCGCAGAGCAAGATTCGGGCAGCGTTTCACGTCTTCATGGCCGTTTGAAGGCCACAATTCTTGCCAAAGCTGACCAATTCGAGCATATCTAAACTTATTCTAAAATCTGATGCAATTTCCGACATTTTTTCTTTCATTCAATTAAATTTAAAAACAGATAAAAATACAGGTATGGGCAAATTTAAAAGACAATCGAACATTTATATCCAATTTTATGCGAAATCATAAATTCCATATTCATCTCAGATTTCTAGTTGAAAAAAATATTCAAATAGAGCAAGTTGTTTAGCAATCTATGACAGATAAAAGTGTTGAAAATTGTGACCCTTTGTGGGTGAGGTACCAGAAGGGGTTCGTAGATATATATATATCATATTCACAGATGTTGTGTTAGAAGAAACAATGAGATATATGAAGAGAACCGGATGCTCATTTCGGATTTTATAATCGTTTTGGTTATTCACAATTTTGACTCTCTGTGGGGGTGGTACCAGAAGTAATGGTCCGATCTCTAACATCTTTATAAAAACGGAAATATTGAGATTGAGTTTATGGACAATTGAATAGAATATTTATTTCGCGCTTTATGAGCTTCATGGATATTCAAAACAGTTGTTCCAGAAGGAGTGGTCCGATATTTTCCATCTTACCCACAGACCTTGGGTTAGTAAGAATATTGTGATGTGTGCAATTTGAAGACAACGGGACTCTGACATCACATTTTATTAGAATTATAATTGTTCAAAATGTTGACCCTTTGTGTGGGAGGTACTTGCTAGAGTGGGCCGATTTTGTTCATTTTCGCACCTGACTAGCGCTGATGTAAATACAAGGATTTGCAAAATTGGAGCAAAACTGGATTTTCCTTCCTCTTTCTGTGCAGTAAAATATTTTTCTTTTTTTTTTTTTCTTTGAAAATTTCGAAATTTGCGGGGAGGTACTAGAAGGAGTGAACCGATATTGCCCATCTCCGAACTGGATCCAAGTTTGATAGTAATATTACGATGTACCAAGTTTGGACCAAATCGGATACTCCCTTCGGGAGTGCGCACCAGCCAGCCAGACTCCAAATGCCCTGTAACGGATTTGGTCCAAAAAGAACTAGGGTCTTAAATCGTTATTTCGATGAGGCACGTTTCGGTCGTATCAAAAAACATATATCCTCTACAGCTGTTTCTCTCCGTATGAGACGTTGATGTTCACCCAGGCACACCAACCGTGACCGTAGAAATAAAGAGATAAATAAAACCAATGTGGGATGTTGTGAGAGTTTGTCAACCCGAGTCGACAGATTACCTTTTTTATGCGGTTAGCTTCGGAGCTAGCAAGACAGTCTCCGATTAGCCCCGTAGCTATCAGAAGAGTCCCTATGAATACAAAGTCGCAATGCATCGAGGTAGTTGGAAGCACCGATGCTTTCAGGAAATCTCTAACAGCAACACGGGCTGAGAGAGTACCCAGAGAGAGTTGTAGAGAAATGTCTTGGAAAAGCTGCCTACGGTCAGAGCTGTTCGAACGTAGGCCCCAAGGAGAGTTGTAGGGAAAATCTTCAGACTAGGAAGGCTTTCTCCCTGCGGTCGGAGCCAAGCGAACGTAGGCTCCAAGGGGAAGTTGCAGGCAACCTTTTAGCCCAAGAATGCATCTCTCTACGGTCCGTACTAACCGAACGTAGGCTTTCTGGATCGTTTGCCAATTTGCAATTCTAACTTAAACAATAGCCATATGGCTGTGGGTATAAAAATCACCTGCATTTAATTTAGTCTGTTCCAGAGGACATTTTGTTCGATAAGAATTTTTACCTCAGGAGGTTAGCTCGATAAGTGTAGTTGTTCGCCAAGCATATTTACAAAAAATGGCAATTTTTTAACCAATTTTTCGATAACAAGTTACAAGTTACATGATCTTCTTTCTCCAATGCAGGTCTGTCTGGGATTTACTATATTCGAACGCATCGATGACGAAACCTACTGCCTCTACAAAGAAACCATCTACTCCGACCCAATATACCACGGTGATGACCTGAAAATACACGATATATGTAACTTCGGCGGCAGTACAAGTGGTGGCCAGGTTGTTTTCATGCGAATCAAGTTGCAATCGGGATACTGTTATACGGTTCGTGTGTTTCTCGATGTGGCTGGCAAGACGGTCTGGGAGAGTTATGTCACACCAATGGATACATTCCTGAATAGCAGTATCAAATTCGAGTTACCGCCCTACACAGGACCCGATTTTTCTGAAGATTCGATCGAAGTGTCGATGGAAGTCGTTGTAAATCGCAGCACTTTCAAGAGTAGGCCGGTCAAATTTACATATTTGAAAAGCGACAATTCTGATTCCAATGGAAGGGCCGCCCGAAAAAAAACACGACTCTCTTCAACGATAGTGCCGACACCAAGTAAATCTTCGGATAGCCTTTCCGATTCGGAGCAACTAAATGCAAACGCATCAAATAATGGGGCAGCAACAAACGAAAACCCAATTAGGCAAGAAGGCGATTTGGTACCATGGATCCAATGGGGGAAAAGCCCAATGGAGGCTGATTTGTCAATGATTTTCGAACACTTTCAGTTGTATAACAGTGTATAACAGTTCAAAAACGTTTTTGTATAAAATAAAAACGATTTTCTAGGTTATAATAAAAACGTTTTTCAACATGTTAGACTTTTAATCCAAGTCATATGTTTGATATACGAAAAATTTTTATTATCCCCTAGTAAATAAAATACTAATACAGAAATAAACACATGAAATGAAAATACATAATTTAAATTGTCAATGTGTAAGAATTATGATTATAAACATTGTTGCATTACATTTATTGCAAAAAAGAATTTGTTGAGAAAATCGTTCCGAATATGAATTGACCTAAGCATTTCATTGTAGAAATTTTGAGAAAAAAATTATCATCGAAAAATACGATTTTAAAGGACGAAATATGTTTTGGCCTATATCTCAGGATCAAAAAAGGATACGCGTATATGGAAGGTATCGTTAGAAACGTGATTCCTTCTACTTTCCGAATATGTGCTGATCTAAGCATTTCATTGTAGAAATTTTAAGAAAAAAATTTATCATCGAAAAATACGATTTTAAAGGACAAAATAAGTTTTGGCCTATATCTCAGGATCAAAAAAGGATACGCGTATATGGAAGGTATCGTTAGAAACGTGATTCCTTCTACTTTCCGAATATGTGCTGATCTAAGCATTTCATTGTAGAAATTTTAAGAAAAAAATTTATCATCGAAAAATACGATTTTAAAGGACAAAATAAGTTTTGGCCTATATCTCAGGATCAAAAAAGGATACGCGTATATGGAAGGTATCGTTAGAAAGGTGATTCCTTCTACTTTCCGAATATGTATTGATCTAAGCATTTCATTGCAGAAATTTTGAGAAAAAAATTTATCATCGAAAAATACGATTTTAAAGGACAAAATAAGTTTTGGCATATATCTCAGGATCAAAAAAGGATACGCGTATATGGAAGGTATCGTTAGAAAGGTGATTCCTTCTACTTCCCGAATATGTATTGATCTAAGCATTTCATTGCTGAAATTTTGAGAAAAAATTTATCATCGAAAAATACGATTTTAAAGGACAAAATATGTTTTGGCCTATATCTCAGGATCAAAAAAGGATACGCGTATATGGAAGGTATCGCTAGAAAGGTGATTCCTTCTACTTTCCGAATATGTATTGATCTAAGGATTTCATTGCAGAAATTTTGAGAAAAAAATTTATCATCGAAAAATACGATTTTAAAGGACGAAATATGTTTTGGCCTATATCTCAGGATCAAAAAAGGATACGCGTATATGGAAGGTATCGTTAGAAAGGTGATTCCTTCTACTTTCCGAATATGTATTGATCTAAGGATTTCATTGCAGAAATTTTGAGAAAAAAATTTATCATCGAAAAATACGATTTTAAAGGACAAAATATGTTTTGGCCTATATCTCAGGATCAAAAAAGGATACGCGTATATGGAAGGTATCGCTAGAAAGGTGATTCCTTCTACTTTCCGAATATGTATTGATCTAAGGATTTCATTGCAGAAATTTTGAGAAAAAAATTTATCATCGAAAAATACGATTTTAAAGGACGAAATATGTTTTGGCCTATATCTCAGGATCAAAAAAGGATACGCGTATATGGAAGGTATCGTTAGAAAGGTGGTTCCTTCTACTTTCCGAAAATGTGCTGATCTAAGCATTTCATTGTAGAAATTTTGAGAAAAAAATTTATCATCGAAAAATACGATTTTAAAGGACAAAATAAGTTTTGGCCTATATCTCAGGATCAAAAAAGGATACGCGTATATGGAAGGTATCGTTAGAAAGGTGATTCCTTCTACTTTCCGAATATGTATTGATCTAAGCATTTCATTGCAGAAATTTTGAGAAAAAAATTTATCATCGAAAAATACGATTTTAAAGGACAAAATAGGTTTTGGCCTATATCTCAGGATCAAAAAAGGATACGCGTATATGGAAGGTATCGTTAGAAACGTGATTCCTTCTACTTTCCGAATATGTGCTGATCTAAGCATTTCATTTTAGAAATTTTAAGAAAAAAATTTATCATCGAAAAATACGATTTTAACGGACAAAATAAGTTTTGGCCTATATCTCAGGATCAAAAAAGGATACGCGTATATGGAAGGTATCGTTAGAAACGTGATTCCTTCTACTTTCCGAATATGTGCTGATCTAAGCATTTCATTGTAGAAATTTTAAGAAAAAAATTTATCATCGAAAAATACGATTTTAAAGGACAAAATAAGTTTTGGCCTATATCTCAGGATCAAAAAAGGATACGCGTATATGGAAGGTATCGTTAGAAAGGTGATTCCTTCTACTTTCCGAATATGTATTGATCTAAGGATTTCATTGCAGAAATTTTGAGAAAAAAATTTATCATCGAAAAATACGATTTTAAAGGACAAAATAAGTTTTGGCCTATATCTCAGGATCAAAAAAGGATACGCGAATATGGAAGGTATCGTTAGAAACGTGATTCCTTCTACTTTCCGAATATGTGCTGATCTAAGGATTTCATTGCAGAAATTTTGAGAAAAAATTTATCATCGAAAAATACGATTTTAAAGGACGAAATATGTTTTGGCCTATATCTCAGGATCAAAAAAGGATACGCGTATATGGAAGGTATCGTTAGAAAGGTGGTTCCTTCTACTTTCCGAAAATGTGCTGATCTAAGCATTTCATTGTAGAAATTTTGAGAAAAAAATTTATCATCGAAAAATACGATTTTAAAGGACAAAATAAGTTTTGGCCTATATCTCAGGATCAAAAAAGGATACGCGTATATTGAAGGTATCGTTAGAAACGTGATTCCTTCTACTTTCCGAATATGTATTGATCTAAGCATTTCATTGCAGAAATTTTGAGAAAAAAATTTATCATCGAAAAATACGATTTTAAAGGACAAAATATGTTTTGGCCTATATCTCAGGATCAAAAAAGGATACGCGTATATGGAAGGTATCGCTAGAAAGGTGATTCCTTCTACTTTCCGAATATGTATTGATCTAAGGATTTCATTGCAGAAATTTTGAGAAAAAAATTTATCATCGAAAAATACGATTTTAAAGGACAAAATATGTTTTGGCCTATATCTCAGGATCAAAAAAGGATACGCGTATATGGAAGGTATCGTTAGAAAGGTGGTTCCTTCTACTTTCCGAAAATGTGCTGATCTAAGCATTTCATTGTAGAAATTTAAAAAAAAAAATTTATCATCGAAAAATACGATTTTAAAGGACGAAATATGTTTTGGCCTATATCTCAGGATCAAAAAAGGATACGCGTACATGGAAGGTATCGTTAGAAAGGTGATTCCTTCTACTTTCCGAATATGTACCGATCTAAGCATTTCATTGCAGAAATTTTGAGAAAAAAAATTATCATCGAAAAATACGATTTTAAAGGACAAAATATGTTTTGGCCTATATCTCAGGATCAAAAAAGGATACGCGTATATGGAAGGTATCGTTAGAAAGGTGGTTCCTTCTACTTTCCGAAAATGTGCTGATCTAAGCATTTCATTGTAGAAATTTTAAGAAAAAAATTTATCATCGAAAAATACGATTTTAAAGGACGAAATATGTTTTGGCCTATATCTCAGGATCAAAAAAGGATACGCGTATATGGAAGGTATCGTTAGAAAGGTGATTCCTTCTACTTTCCGAATATGTGCTGATCTAAGCATTTCATTGTAGAAATTTTGAGAAAAAAATTTATCATCGAAAAATACGATTTTAAAGGACAAAATATGTTTTGGCCTATATCTCAGGATCAAAAAAGGATACGCGTATATGGAAGATATCGTTAGAAAGGTGGTTCCTTCTACTTTCCGAATATGTGCTGATCTAAGCATTTCATTGTAGAAATTTTAAGAAAAAAATTTATCATCGAAAAATACGATTTTAAAGGACGAAATATGTTTTGGCCTATATCTCAGGATCAAAAAAGGATACGCGTATATGGAAGGTATCGTTAGAAAGGTGATTCCTTCTACTTTCCGAATATGTGCTGATCTAAGCATTTCATTGCAGAAATTTTGAGAAAAAAAAATTATCATCGGAAAATACGATTTTAAAGGACAAAATATGTTTTGGCCTATATCTCAGGATCAAAAAAGGATACGCGTATATGGAAGGTATCGTTAGAAATGTGGTTCCTTCTACTTTCCGAATATGTGCTGATCTAAGCATTTCATTGTAGAAATTTTAAGAAAAAAATTTATCATCGAAAAATACGATTTTAAAGGACGAAATATGTTTTGGCCTATATCTCAGGATCAAAAAAGGATACGCGTATATGGAAGGTATCGTTAGAAAGGTGGTTCCCTCTACTTTCCGAATATGTATTGATCTAAGCATTTCATTGTAAAAATTTTGAGAAAAAAATTTATCATCGAAAAATACGATTTTAAAGGACAAAATATGTTTTGGCCTATATCTCAGGATCAAAAAAGGATACGCGTATATGGAAGGTATCGTTAGAAAGGTGATTCCCTCTACTTTCCGAATATGTATTGATCTAAGCATTTCATTGTAGAAATTTTGAGAAAAAAATTTATCATCGAAAAATACGATTTTAAAGGACAAAATATATCTCAGGATCAAAAAAGGATACGCGTATACGGAAGGTATCGTTAGAAAGGTGATTGCTTCTACTTTCCGAATATGTATTGATCTAAGCATTTCATTGTAGAAATTTTGAGAAAAAAATTTATCATCGAAAAATACGATTTTAAAGGACAAAATATGTTTTGGCCTATATCTCAGGATCAAAAAAGGATACGCGTATATGGAAGGTATCGTTAGAAAGGTGATTCCCTCTACTTTCCGAATATGTATTGATCTAAGCATTTCATTGTAGAAATTTTGAGAATAAAAATGTTAAGAAAAAAAACCGTCACTTTTATACGAAGAATCGTAAATTTTTGGACTTTTTTGCCTTGGGAAAATTTTCAAAACAGTTCCCAAATAATGGCACCATATTGTGTTGGTTTCATTTTCGAAATGAAACAAGAATATATGAAAGTCTTTGGTAATATAAAAAAATAAATCTTACTACAATTTTATAACAGCGTCCATGTCGGGATTTGAACCCACGACACAGTAAATGTCAACAGAACTACTTAGTAGATCTCTTTTTGCTGTTGTCAACTTTGAAAATCAACACAAAATCGGTTACGTTAATCTCATTGATTTAACCCCTTAGACAGTGTGTTACAGGTCAACGTATGTAGGCATGTTTAAGAAACTACATATTCGCAACTATTTTGGTATTTATACTAATAATTGTACTTTTATTTTTAATTTGTATATATTTAAATTCTATAAATTATCCTACACATTTATTGATTTATGTTAATATTTGTATAATTCCGTATTTATTTATTTTTATTCCGTATTTATGAATTAAATTTTTTGTACTGATAATTATGTTTATATTTCATTTAATTATTATATACATTTTTACTGGTAATTTTATTGCATTTTAATATTTTTATTTATTTTTATCATTACAGTTTTATGCTTGCATATCTATATTTTTACGTTAATTTATATTCGTGTTTTCATATTTTTATTTACGATTTTACGTACAGTTATATTTTTTATATTTTTGTACTTATATTTATATTTTCATTTTATTTATTTTTATACTTAAACTAATACCTTTCTACATTTTTATTTATTTTGTTGTTAAATTTAATAATTTTATTGTATTGTAATACCAACACCACGTTATTTTTCACATGCTGGTATCACTTCATATTTTTTATCCATTTGCATTTATGCGGCATGCCCTATCTAAAAAGCAAAAATGCAAAGAATGTGTGAACCGTTACTTTTCGCACGTACCATTGTTGTTGTGTGTGTTTCAAGTTGATCGTTTGACAAACAACCCTTTTTTATGTTTCCACGAAAAAAATGTTTATGCTACTTTTACAATTCTGGTTCACCATCGGTGCGAGCTAGTGATAGCTCAAGTGGCAGCAACAAACGAAAACCCAATTAGGCAAGAAGGCGATTTGGTACCATGGATCCAATGGGGGAAAGGCCCAATGGAGGCTGATTTGTCAATGAATGGGTATTATTCGATGAGTTTCCTTCCATTACTACAACAAGAGAATAATGAATATGTCTCGGAAGATAGAGCACTAACGCTCAATCCAATAAAGGAAGATATCAATGTCCAACACCAGGAGCAAGATACGAAAAGAAAAGAAAAAGAAAACATTGACTTAGAGAAACAAATTGAAACATTTTTGAAAGAACAAGCCCAAGATATTACCATCCCGCTCAGTAATCGATCGACTAAATGTAAGTAATTCTTTTTTTCAACTTTTATTTCAATTTGGAGAAGTTGTCCGATAACAACAGAAAAGTTGTCCTATAAATTGTCCGATAACAACATTTTCCAAACAACATTTTATATTGATGAGTTGTCCGATAACTTTTTCTTTTGAAAAGTTGTCCGATAACAATTGTTTTAATCAAAAAGTTGTCCGATAACAACTATTTCTATAGAAAAGTTGTCCGATAACAACTTTTTCTTTGGAAAAGTTGTCCGATAACAACTTTTTCTTTGGAAAAGTTGTCCGATAACAATTGTTTTAATCAAAAAGTTGTCCGATAACAACTATTTCTATAGAAAAGTTGTCCGATAACAACTTTTTCTTTGGAAAAGTTGTCCGATAACAACTTTTTCGTTGAAACGTTGTCCGATAATATCTTTTTCTATAGAAACGTTGTCCGATAACTACTTTTTCTATAGAAACGTTGTCCGATAAGAACTTTTTCTATGGAAACGTTGTCCGATAACAATTTTTTCTTTAAAAAATAAAATTATCCGATAAAACCGTTTCCCATAACAATTTTTTCTATAAGAAAATGCGTTCGATAACAATGTTTTTTATGTTCGCTGGCAACTTATGCAATACAATTTTTTTTTATTTCAGTTGGCAACACCATTTTCCATGACGCTGTATTGAATGCATCCACATTGCTCGCCCTGTGCAATGGTGTCAAGAAATCTACGCACAAGGATCAGGTCCTGAAAGCTCGCAACAAACTGCGACACAATCTGCTGCACCATGCCTGTCTCCACGACAAGTCGGAAGCTATAAGACCACTGGTAGGCATGGGTATTGCTCTGCACGAACTGGATCAAAGTGGCAACACTCCATTGCACTTGGCCATCGTAAATCGTCGCAGCGATTGCATTCTACAAATACAGCAACTACTGCAGAAATACGACGCCTACGATGAAAAGGTCCTCGCATCAATGGTCAAGATGACCAAAGTCTACAATCGGCAGGGCTATACGGTACTGCATTTGGCCCTATTGGAAAATCTGCCGGAGTTGCTGGGAGTTATTTTGGAATTTTGCCAGCAGAAACAAATCGATGTCACCGAATACGAAGTATTGGGCAGCGGCGATTCTCTTAGAAAATTGGCATTGAAAACAAAGGCCTCTACGGAAATTCTGAAAGTGCTTGAGGAGTATGTACCAAACTATTTGCTCATCGAGAACTATGCAGGCGATACCGCCGCCGCAACCGATGAAATCGAGGAGATATCTGATGAAATGGAGATGAAATTGAATTTTGAATAAGAAAATGTAGAATTAAATGAATAATAGCGAATAAAACAAATAATAAATAAATAATAAAGAATAATAAAGAATAAAAAAGAATAAAAAAAAATAAAGAGAATAATAAAGAATAAAACCAGTAAAGAAAGTCTTAAAGTCGGGCGGGGCCGACTTTATGATACCCTACACCACTTTGCTAATTAAGTAGAGCTCCACATAACAATTAAAAGTTTTTATGGGAGAATTCAATCATACACGCTATGATTATAATTATAATTATAATTTAAAGTTCAAAGGACTAAACATGCCGAAGAATTTGTATCTTTTAAATTCGGACTTGTATTGACCATTTGGTGCACAATTAATTTGAAATCGGATAAATATATATATGGGAGCTATATCCAAATCTGAACCGATCTCGATAAAATTTGGCAAAGATATTTCTGAGCTGTATTTGATATATTTCCCTGAATATCGTTGTTACGGAGTGTATATTACGGTTGTGGGTAACAAATATAACAAATCGGATGAATAATATATATGGAAGCTATAGCTATATCTGAACCGATCTTCACCAAATTTGACATACTAGCTTCTAGTCTCAATTCGGTCGTATGTGCCAAACTCCATCCCATTTGGACAAATATTAGACGTTTGGAGCACAATAAAATGTAAATCGGACGAAGTTATATATGAGAGTTATATCCAAATCTGAACCGATCTCGATAAAATTTTGCAAATGTATTTCTGAGCTGTATTTGATATATTTGGCAAAGATATTTCTGAGCTGTATTTGATATATTTCCCTGAATATCGTTGTTACGGAGTGTATATTACGGTTGTGGGTAACAAATATAACAAATCGGATGAATAATATATATGGAAGCTATAGCTATATCTGAACCGATCTTCACCGAATTTGACATACTAGCTTCTAGTCTCAATTCGGTCGTATGTGCCAAATTCCATCCCATTTGGACAAATATTAGACGTTTGGTGCACAATAAAAGGTAAATCGGACGAAGTTATATATGGGAGCTATATCCAAATCTGAACCGATCTCGATAAAATTTTGCAAATGTATTTCTGAGCTATATTTGATATATTTCCCCAAATATTGTTGTTGCAGAGTGCATATTACGGCGGCGGTGGACAAAAATAACAAATCGGATGAACAATATATATGGGAGCTATAGCTATATCTGAACCGATTTCGATCAAATTTGGCATAAATTTGGTTGCATGTGCAAAATTCCATACTATTCGGGCTGATATTACACGTTTGGTGCACAATAAAAGGCAAATCGGACGAAGATATATATGGGAGCTATATCTAAATTTTGACCGATTATCTCCAATTTCAATAGGGTTCGTCCTTGGGCCAAACAAATGATCTGTGCGAAATTTCATCTAGATCGGGCAATAAATGCGACCTGTACTTTGTTTACAAAAATACATGGACAGACGGACAGACGGACGGACGGACGGACAGACGGACGGACGGACATGCATAAATCGACTCAGAATGTGATTCTATGCAGATCATCAAAAGGAACTATGGGTCTATCTCGTTTCCTTTTGCCTGTTACAAACAAATGCACAAAGACATAATACCCTGACCACCTTGTGGTGTAGAGTATAACAAAACGATTTCATGTGTATTGGGTTCTCTTGTTCAATACAGCACTGCTGTGAAGCACATGAAGGGGTAGAGGAGCGAAGAGATGGAAAACAAGTAAAAACGCAGCTAAGGCCGGGTCGAACTTTTAATACCCTCCACCACCATTTCGAAAAAAATTGAAAAATTTAAAAAAAAAATCCGAAAACTACCACCTAAATGAAAACCGTTATGTGGGGACTATACAAAGACGTAGACCAGCATACAAAAATTTTTGTCATAGGCTGTAGTGCCCATTACGAACTTCAAATGCGAAACTCGAAATAATTCCGGTAAATAATGTCGCTAAAATATATATATATATATATATATATATATATATATATATATATATATATATATATATATATATATATATATATATATATATTAGTTCTTTGTGAGTACTTTACCAGGTGGAAGAGAATAGTTTAAATAGGTCCACGATGGTCCACGATCGTATGGCCCCCATTTAACGGTACCTACCGATATTCAGTATTTTCATGATTGTAGCTGCATTTTTTTATGGAACTGTCTGAAATTACACACAAGGAGTTCCTTCTGAGTACTTTAGCCCCTGGAAGAGAATTGTCTATATAGGTCCACGATAACGCATAGCCCCCATATAGCTGTACCTCCGTATAATCGGTATTTTGATGATTTAAGCGACATTTTTGACCGGAATTGTTTCAAATTTCGTATTTAAAGCCGTAACGAGTACTAAAACCCATGCCAGAAGATTGTCTATGCAGGTCCACGTCTTCGTATAGCCCATACACAGGGTATTATATCATTGCAGAAATTTTGAGGAAAAAATTTATCATCGAAAAATACTATTTTAAAGGACAAAATATGTTTTAGCCTATATCTGAATATCACAAAAGGATACGCGTAAATGGAAGGTATCGTTAGAAAGGTGATTCCTTCTACTTTCCGAATATGCCTAACTGAATTATTTTTTTATGAACGTTACCAGCACATGCCGTTGTGCAAAATCTAGGAGGTTTAGGTCCATACGGAAGGTACCATCAAAATGCTGACACTTCGTTAATATGTATAGGAAAGGATTGAACGTGTAATTAAAAAAAAATTTAAAAAAAAATTGTAAAAATAATATATTTTTGTACAAAAGAAAATTATGTTAAAATTCACAATTAGGTTGTTTAAACAGTTGTCATCAAGTAGGATTCAAACTTAGGTCGTTTTGAAATCAAACCAAACGGGGACGCTCGCTCATTCCACTAGCCAACAGATGTATGGGAACAGATGGATGTGAAGATAAATTGGAAAGTTAAATTGGATGTTAACAGAACACAATTACTTAACAGAGCTCCATTAAGGACTTAACAGAGCTTTGTTAAAGCCTTAATAAAAAGAAAATTTTGAAAAACTATGGGACAAACCGTTTCAGACACCCGAATTGGGTCATATCTTTATTATGATGTAAAAACACGGAGTGGACCACTGTGCAAAGGCTATAAAAAGACCCGACTTTTTAGTCTGTTCCAGAGAAATGTTTGTTATAAAGAAAAGGATTCCTCATCACCGTGGGGTTGAACTTGGGTCGCTGGAACCAGACAAATATCCGGCGCACGCGACTCCTCTAGGCTATATTCTTTAACAAAGCTCTCTCTGTTAAGGACAACAGAGCTCTGTCAAGTAACTGTGTTCGGTTACCATCCAATTTAACTTTCCAATTTATCTTCACACCCATTGGAGAACTCCATGCAAATATTCGAGTCGGCCATGCATCAAAATGAGGGATGTTGTTGGCTGTCACTGCCTATCAAATACAAAGCCCATGATTTAGTAGACAAAAATCAGGGTGTCGAAAAAAGCATAGTTCATACAATTCGTCTTGTGCTGGCCTTTAATGTATACCCATACAACAAATGGGCATAATAAAGATAATTATTATCTCATGTTTTGAGATAAAGAGAGAGAGAGAAGTGTTGAGAGAGAAGGCGAGAGATACAAACACGTAGTTAGGGAATTGCCCGATATTTTACGAACCATGGTACAAAAATACAGCTAGACCCAAAATAATAAAAATGAAATTTTAGGATAGAAAATTAAAAACCAAATACGTTTTAGGGTTAAAAACGAAGTACTGCATTTGTGTTAAAATTCTTCCACCAACCAGGATTGCAGAAAGGATGATGGCAAAGATAAACATATGTATGAAAGCTCTATTTTTAGTATACCTCCACCTTGGTATATTAACTTTGTCATTCCGTTTGTAACATCTCTAAATATACATCGTAGACCCCATAAAGTAAAGTATATATTCATAATTCTAAGTCGATTTAACGATGTTCGTCTGTCTGTCTGTCTGTTGAAATCACGATACAGCTCACATTATGTGACGTACAGCGTAAAAATTTACCAGAACAATTTATACTGTGTCTAGGATTGTTGGAATTTAAAATGAGATATATCGGTCCATGTACCTTCCACGGTACCTTCCGATATTCGGTATTTCGAAGAATTTTGCCACATTTTTTCACAGATTTGTCTGAAAATTGGTATTTGTTGGCCATAATGGGTTCTAGCTTCTGTGGCGAAACAATGTATGTATAGGTCCACGTTTTGGTATAGCCCCCTTATAACGGTACATCCAGATGTTCGGTATTTTGTCACATTTTTCACGGATTTGTCTAAAAATTGGTATTTTTAGGTGATAATGGGTCCTAGTTCGTGTGGCGAAACATTGTATGTATAAGTCCACGTTTTGGTATAGCTCCCATATAACGCTACCTCCCGATATTCGATATGCTGACAATTTTTGCCACATTTCTTCACGTATTTGTCTAAAAATTGGTAATTGTAAGCCCTAATGGGTTCTACTGTTTCATTTATCCTAAGGTGGAGGATATTAAATGTTCGGCCCGGCCGAACATAATGTTTTTTTACTTATTCTATATCCAGAAAACATTTGCTTCAATTTTGCCAAAAACAAAAACCCGCGAAAATTATACCTCTTTTTAGCGCTTTTTTCTGCGTGTTTTTTCGAGTAGATGCAAAAAAGTAACACAAAACTTCATTGTAGAAAAAAATATTTCAAAAGAGGAAATATTCTACATCAAATTTCAACACAAATCTTCGAATAAACTATATATCTGGGCATAATAGTTTTGAAGAAAACTACATTCGAAATTTATGTATTAAAAGTGGAAATCAAAAGAAACCCATTTTGGAGTGTTAATTTTATGCGTCTAATCTGAGTCGAAATCTTGCAGAATACTTAAATTTTTAGGTAAATTAGAAAAAATTGTTTTCCATTGAATTTGACTGTATGTCACAAAGGAAAGAAAGTTCTGTTTCCATAATCTGTCAAGAAAATATTGGTTTCAATTTTACAAAAAAAAAGAAAGCACCAGAAAATAAGTCTTTGTGAAAGAAACACAAAACTTCGTTTAAGACAAAATATTTCAAAAGTGCAAACATTCTACATCAGATTTCAACGCAAGTATCAGAATAAACTATATGTCGAGGTATAATAGTTTTAAAGAAAACTACATTCGAATTCGGGGTTTCAGTCCAAATCTGTTTTAACGACTTTATATAGAATTAACCATACACAAAAAGGCGCCAATATTTTTACCTAACTTTCGCACAACTTGGAATAGAGTTTAGTAATTTGATAAAGATATTCGTTTTTAATCTAGATACGGCGATACAAAATATGGGTCATATCCCACTTGGTGGCATAGCCTCCATATAACTACTTTATTTTTAAGTTTTATGGATATTTTCCAAGTAATATCGGAAAATGTTTGCATTTTATATACTTCGTAAGTAGATACTCTCTTTGCAAAATATTATCAATGTAGGTGTGCCCTTTGCAACTACCTGTATTCATGTACAAAAGGCACGAATGAATGTTTGCACTGTGTGTGTTTCATGAGCATTGCAAATTTGTGAGATAATAAATAAAGAAGAGTTGCCACCTTTTCGATGACATTTGGTATTGGGGAATTTTGTTGTTATGGGAAATTGTGAAATAAATCATCGATCGATAACAACTCACATCGCTGTAAAATAAGTATAACAACATTTTAGATAGAAAGAATGTGATATGAAAAACAACTTCTGCAGTTTTTGTAAATTATTCAAATGCTCGATTTTTTCTATACTTAAAAATTTTAATCGAAATTTCTATTATCGAATCGCATTTTTATATTTATTATTTTTTTTAATTTTTAAATTATTATTTTTTTTTATTTTGTAAAATGTTTGGTTAATAAATATGTTTGAAGTCTTCAGTTCAGAAAAAATTAATCGATTTTTTTTTTCTTTCTAATTTTTGTTTTCTTATTTAGAAGTAATTTTTTTTCAAAGGAAACTTTTGTTGCTGTCGATTTTTTTATTAAAAATAATTATTGAAATTTCTTTTATCTATTTCTATAATTTTTTACCGCCTTTTGATAATTTTTCTGTTATCATTTAAAAGTTTATGGTATATATTGCATTTTTTTAATTTTTTTTAACGTTTGTCTAAAAAAAACACAGTTTTTAATTTTTTTTTAATTTTATTGAATAAAAGCAAAATATGTCGGAAATAGCATCAAATTTTAGAATAAGTTTAGATTTGTTCGAAATTGTCACCTTTGGCACGAATTATGGCCTTCAAACGGCCAATGAAAACCGTCACACGCTGCCCGAATGTTGTCCTGCGGTATTTTGGTCCATTCCCGGTGAAGCGACGCGCTTGCTTGAGGTGATCGACACTTTGGTATTTTTAGTGCCAACCTTGCTTTTCAAAATACTCCAGACACAATAGTCCAACGGATTGGTATCCGGAGAGTTTGGTGGCAATTGTGCGCTGGAAATGAAGCGAGGAACCTCATTTTGTAACTATTCTTGGGTGAGTTCTGTTGGAATGTCCTAGGTGTGCGGCCAAAATGTTTACGTGCCCAAGGCTATAATACTCCTTCCAGAATATTTTCGCCATAATATTCGGCATTTATTCTGATGCCACGGTCGATTATGGCGGCCCATGGGTTCTGGTGGCCAACCGAAGGTGCACTTTTTCAGCTGACCTCTGTGGCATGTAAACACGATCATTTGTTTGTTTACAAACTGCTGGACAACGAATGTTTTCTCATCGGAGCGGAGAAAACCAAATTCGGCAGTTCACCATTTTCGGCCATGCCAAGCAACTTTTTAGCTCTTTTCAGTCTATTTTCATTCCGTTGCGGTGTAAGTTCTTGCACTTTTGGAATTTCAATGGCTTTACCCCGAGCTCATTTTTCAATATTTGCCGAACGGAATATTGCGTTATGTTCAGATCACGAGCCATTTTTCGGCCACTGTGACACGGGTTTCGATCAAGTGGCTTCTTTACTTCTCGAACCATTTCTGCTGATGTTGCTGTTTTCTTCCGTCCACTTCCTCGACATATGTCGGGCTACGCTATTCACATTTAAATTCTGGTGTGTTCTAACGATAGCCACTTGTGGTTTTTCAGCTAAATATGAAGAAATCACACTATCACGCTTGAATACAATCACGAATAACTTTGTTTCTGGAAAATTCTCACCAAAATGCTTTTGTACGCTTGTAAACAATATAATGAGCTGTCACGTGGAATAATTTTAACAGCTGTCAGACGAATGGCTTCGAAATGGCAGTAGTCTGAAGTTAGTTGCAGTTTTTTATTTTACCCTGTATTTTTTGAAGTTTCCAGTTTTTTTTTTTTACATTTTCATCATTTTTTTTCGAATTTTCGAATTTTTTCGATAAAAAAAATGTTGAAAACTAAAAAATTAATTGTTTACAAAAATGTCGCTAATTTTTATTTTGTTGCCAATTTTCCAATGGGTAAAAATAAATTCGAATTTTTTAATGAATAAAAAAGCAAAACAAAAATAGATTATCGATTTTATTTATCTTTTTTAGAAAACTATTTTCTTGCAAAATTTTTTTTTATCGAAAAAACAGGTTTGTTGAAAAGTTCACTTGAAAAAATTAGCATTTTCCAAGTCGATTATTATTGAAAAATTGTTTATCAAAATATTTGTTATAGTTTTTTTTTTTTTATTTAAAATTTTTTTATTTACTTATGAGTTTTTCATGATATATTTTTGATTTCAAATCTAATCTCGATTTTCACATGCAATCCGGCAACACCACCTTTATACAAAAAAAAAAAAAAAAATAATAATAGTAAATAAATAAACATAACAAAAAACTACGGACAATTCCCTCTCTAGCTATCGAATAAATTGATTGTCGCTGTACAGCAGCGGTGCTCAAGAAAAAATACCTCTTTTCAGTCAAATTTCTCTTTGCTTATTTAAATCAATAACAAAACAGTGTGAAGTCATTATTTATACCAACATTATTTATCCATTTGCTTTATAAATTAATTTGGCAAACATTCGTGTCTAAAAACAATTTAATAGAACCGTAAAATATAAAGAAAACAGAATTTTAATTTTCTCTTAAATTATCTCTTTTTTCGGTTCATGTTCTAGAGCACGGTTTTGAGCACCGCTGCTGTACAGCCACGAACGAACGCACTCAGTTCTGCGAAGTACACCAAGTGACTCACAACACAGCCATTCGCGATCCATTGCCACAATGGAATCATTTTTAATGGAACCGTTTTTAAACAGCTCTTTGCAAATACAAATTCAACCAAAACAAAATTTTCATTTTCGTTTCGAAAGTGAATTGAAAAATACCCACGGCTTTATAACGGGACGAGGCGCAGCAGTGACGAACGGTCGGAATTGCTCAGTCCGCGATATATATCCCAAAATCCAAATGAGATTACCGGACAGTGCCAATCTCAACGACAATGGAAAGGTGAGACAGTTCTTTGTCTTATGCTCACTACACTCGTACAACGAGGAGAAGATCGCCGAGAAGAAGCCGCTTCACCTGTCGCCACACCTCCTGTTGCCCAAGAGTAAACGTAAAATTGACTATGCGTTCGTTTTTGAAAAGATGAAGAATTGCCAGGACGATGTGACAGATAGGTATTGGGAGCTCGTCGATCATGTTATTGTGCGATCTGGAAAGAAAAACAACAAATATGGGAAGACGCTGCGGGCGAAGCAGCTTAAATACGAATCGTTGGGATTGCCGCTGCCATTCGATAAGCTGCAGGGCGATTTGGATTTGAATGAAATCACTCAAAGTGCCGGCTTAATTGTAAGTACAAGTCGATATTGGAACCAATCTGAAAAATCTGCTGAAAAATGTTATCGAAAAGCACACATTATCCTAGAGAAGTTGTTCGACGACAAACACTTTCCGCAAAAAAAAATGGTTTCGACAACAACCATTTCTCAAGACATAAAATAGATTTAACGATAACATCGCTTTTAATGGAACAAACAACATCGTTTTCGATCGAAAACAAGCTAAAAAAAGGTATCAGTCGGTTTTGCGACAGATGTATACCCTCAGCTTATGTTCGATTATTTAATTTTATTTTGAAGTATGTTATAATTATTCAAATTCTTCTCCGCAGGAATGGGCCAATACTGTCCATGTCATATCGAACCTAAATAAATATTATAAAAATATATCGACGTGCCAGGTGTGGACTATATTGGTGACTTCCTTCACTTTATATGAGATATCTTATAATGTTTTTTCAAAAATGTTAAAATACAGGGTGAGTTGAAAAAAAATGCAACCAACTTCAGACTGCTGTCATTTCTAAGCCACTCGTCCGTCAGCTTTTAAAATGATTCCAGTGACAGATCATTATATTGTTTACAAGCATACAAAAGCTTGAAAAATGTCTCGTGAGCTCGACTCGACCAGACACAATGTCTGGAGCATTTTAGAAAGCAAAGCTGGCACTAAAAAATACCAAAGTGTCGATCAACTCAAGCAAGCACTTCGCCGGGAATGGTCCAAAATACCGCAGAGCAAGATTCGGGCAGCGTTTCACGTCTTCATGGCCGTTTGAAGGCCACAATTCTTGCCAAAGCTGACCGATTCGAGCATATCTAAACTTATTCTAAAATCTGATGCAATTTCCGACATTTTTTCTTTCATTCAATTAAATTTAAAAACAGATAAAAATACAGGTATGGGCAAATTTACAAGACAATCGAACATTTATATCCAATTTTATGCGAAATCATAAATTCCATATTCATCTCAGATTTCTAGTTGAGAAAAATATTCAAATAGAGCAAGTTGTTTAGCAATCTATGACAGATAAAAGTGTTGAAAATTGTGACCCTTTGTGGGTGAGGTACCAGAAGGGGTTCGTAGATATATATATCATATTCACAGATGTTGTGTTAGAAGAAACAATGAGATATATGAAGAGAACCGGATGCTCATTTCGGATTTTATAATCGTTTTGGTTATTCACAATTTTGACTCTCTGTGGGGGTGGTACCAGAAGTAATGGTCCGATCTCTAACATCTTTATAAAAACGGAAATATTGAGATTGAGTTTATGGACAATTGAATAGAATATTTATTTCGCGCTTTATGAGCTTCATGGATATTCAAAACAGTTGTTCCAGAAGGAGTGGTCCGATATTTTCCATCTTACCCACAGACCTTGGGTTAGTAAGAATATTGTGATGTGTGCAATTTGAAGACAACGGGACTCTGACATCACATTTTATTAGAATTATAATTGTTCAAAATGTTGACCCTTTGTGTGGGAGGTACTTGCTAGAGTGGGCCGATTTTGTTCATTTTCGCACCTGACTAGCGCTGATGTAAATACAAGGATTTGCAAAATTGGAGCAAAACTGGATTATCCTTCCTTTTTCTGTGCAGTAAAATATTTTTTTTCTTTGAAAATTTCGAAATTTGCGGGGAGGTACTAGAAGGAGTGAACCGATATTGCCCATCTCCGAACTGGATCCAAGTTTGATAGTAATATTGCGATGTACCAAGTTTGGACCAAATCGGATACTCCCTTCGGGAGTGCGCACCAGCCAGCCAGACTCCAAATGCCCTGAAACGGATTTGGTCCAAAAAGAACTAGGGTCTTAAATCGTTATTTCGATGAGGCACGTTTCGGTCGTATCAAAAAACATATATCCTCTACAGCTGTTTCTCTCCGTATGAGACGTTGATGTTCACCCAGGCACACCAACCGTGACCGTAGAAATAAAGAGATACATAAAACCAATGTGGATTAGTTTAAATATAATATAAGTAACCGTTTATTGAGATGTTGTGAGAGTTTGTCAACCCGAGTCGACAGATTACCTTTTTTACGCGGTTAGCTTCGGAGCTAGCAAGACAGTCTCCGATTAGCCCCGTAGCTATCAGAAGAGTCCCTATGAATACAAAGTCGCAATGCATCGAGGTAGTTGGAAGCACCGATGCTTTCAGGAAATCTCTAACAGCAACACGGGCTGAGAGAGTACCCAGAGAGAGTTGTAGAGAAATGTCTTGGAAAAGCTGCCTACGGTCAGAGCTGTTCGAACGTAGGCCCCAAGGAGAGTTGTAGGGAAAATCTTCAGACTAGGAAGGCTTTCTCCCTGCGGTCGGAGCCAAGCGAACGTAGGCTCCAAGGGGAAGTTACAGGAAACCTTTTAACCCAAGAATGCATCTCTCTACGGTCCGTACTAACCGAACGTAGGCTTTCTGGATCGTTTGGCAATTTGCAATTCTAACTTAAACAATAGCCATATGGCTGTGGGTATAAAAATCACCTGCATTTAATTTAGTCTGTTCCAGAGGACATTTTGTTCGATAAGAATTTTTACCTCAGGAGGTTAGCTCGATAAGTGTAGTTGTTCGCCAAGCATATTTACAAAAAATGGCAATTTTTTAACCAATTTTTCGATAACAAGTTACAAGTTACATGATCTTCTTTCTCCAATGCAGGTCTGTCTGGGATTTACTATATTCGAACGAATCGATGACGAAACCTACCGCCTCTACAAAGAAACCATCTACTCCGACCCAATATACCACGGTGATGACCTGAAAATACACGATATATGTAACTTCAGCGGCAGTACAAGTGGTGGCCAGTTTGTGTACATGCGAATTAAGTTGCAGTCGGGATACTGTTATACGGTTCGTGTGTTTCTCGATGTGGCTGGCAAGACGGTCTGGGAGAGTTATGTCAAACCAAAGGATACATTCATGAATAGCAGTATAAAATTCGAGTTACCGCCCTACACAGGACCCGATTTTTCTGAAGATTCGATCGAAGTGTCGATGGAAGTCGTTGTAGATCGCAGCACTTTCAAGAGTAGGCCGGTCAAATTTACATATTCGAAAAGCGACAATGCTGGAACGGCAGAGCAGGCAGCCGCCCGAAAAAGACCACGACTCTGTTCAACGATAGTGCTGACACCATGTAAATCTTCGGCTAGCCTTTCCGATTCGTTGCAACCGATTGCAATCGCACCAAATATTGGAGCAACAACGACCGAAATCCCAAGTAGGCCGACCAAAATGGAAGTTGTCGGACCGGCAACCGATCAAAATGTTTCAACCACTACCTTCTCGCAATCTTCTGAGAATCCGATAATTGATAATTTTTCATCACAGACCTACTCTGCATCAACGGTTAGTCTTTCCGATTTGGATTTGGAACAATTGTACCAAAGCCTAATGGAGCCTGACTTGTTATTAGAGGAACCCCCGAGTGAACAAGGGAATAATGAATATGTCTCGCAAGATAGAGCAGTAACGCCCAAACCAATAAAGGAAGATATCAATGTCCAACACCAGAAGCAAGAGAAGAAAAGAAGAGAAATAAATGAAATAAAGAAACGGATTGAAAAATATTTGAATGATGCAGCCCAAGATATTACCATCCCGCCTAGTATTCTATCGAATAAATGTAAGTAATTCTTTTTTGGTATCGTATATTTAGAAGCTGATTGTCCGATAACAGAGGAGTTGTTCGATGACAGCATTTTTCCCTGAAAAATAAATCAGTACAAAAGGGGCCGTGTGGAAAAGTTGTCTCATGACCATTTTACCGATAACTACGTTGCATAATAGCAATTCTTCCTCAAGAAAAGTTGTCCGAAAACAATTTTTCTATGGAGAAGTTGTCCGATAAAATTTTTTCTATAGAAAAGTTATCCTATAAATTGTCCGATAACAACATTTTCCAAATAATAATTTTGCGATAACAAGTTTTTATATTAATGAATTGTCCGATAACTTTTCCTTTTGAAAAGTTGTGCGATAACAACTTTTTCTATAGCAAACTTGGCCGATAACAAAGATTTCTATAGCAATGTTGTCCGATAACAACTGTTTCTATCAAAAAGTTGTCCGATAACAACTTGTTCTATAGAAAAGTTGCCCGATAACAACTTGTTCTATAGAAAAGATGTCCGATAACAACTTGTTCTATAGAAAAGTTGTCCGATAACAACTTTTTCTATAGAAAAGTTGTCCGATAAGAACTTTTTCTGTAGAAAAGTTGTCCGATAAGAACTTTTTCTGTAGAAAAGTTGTCCGATAAGAACTTTTTCTGTAGAAAAGTTATCCGATAACAACTTTTTCTGTAGAAAAGTTGTCCGACTTTTTCTGTAGAAAAGTTGTCCGATAACAACTTTTTCTGTAGAAAAGTTGTCCGATAACAACTTTTTCTATAGAAAAGTTGTCCGACAACAACTTTTTCTAGAGAAAAGTTGTCCGACAACAACTTTTTCTAGAGAAAAGTTGTCCGACAACAACTTTTTCTAGAGAAAAGTTGTCCGACAACAACTTTTTTTAGAGAGAGAAAAGTTGTCCGACAACAACTTTTTCTAGAGAAAAGTTGTCCGACAACAACTTTTTCTAGAGAAAAGTTGTCCGACAACAACTTTTTCTATAGAAAAGTTGTCCGACAACAAGTTTTTCTATAGAAAAGTTGTCCGACAACAAGTTTTTCTATAGAAAAGTTGTCCGATAACAACTTTTTCTATTGAAAAGTTGTCCGATAACAACTTTCTCTGTTGAAAAGTTGTCCGATAAGAACTTTCTCTGTTGAAAAGTTGTCCGATAAGAACTTTTTCTATAGAAATGTTGTGCGATGACACTGTTTCTATCGAAAAGTTGTCCGATATCAAGTTTTTCTTTAAAAAAAAATTATCCGATAAAAACGTTTTTTACATAGAACGGAAATTTTCTTTCCCATAACAATTTTTCTATAAGCAATTGCGTGTTGACAAGTCCCTAAAACCAGTTTCCCATATAGAGTAGTAGTTCGATAACAATGTTTTTTATGTTCGCTGGCAACTTATGCAATACAATTTTTTTATTTCAGTTGGCAACACCATTTTCCATGACGCCGTATTGAATGCGTCTACATTGCTCGCCCTGCGCAATGGTGTCAAGAAATCTACGCACAAGGATCTGGTCCTGAAAACTCGCAACAAATTGCGGCACAATCTGCTGCACTATGCCTGTCTCCACGACAAGTCGGAAGCTATAAGACCACTGGTAGGCATGGGCATTGCTCTGCACGAACAGGATAAAAGTGGCAACACTCCATTGCACTTGGCCATCGTTAATCGCCGCAGCGATTGCATTCTACAAATACAAGAACTACTGCAGATATACGGCGCCTACGATGAAAACGTCCTCGCATCAATGGTCAAGATGACCAAAGTCTACAATCGGCAGGGCTATACGGTACTGCATTTGGCCCTATTGGAAAATCTGCCGGAGTTGCTGGGAGTTCTTTTGGAATTTTGCCAGCAGAAACAAATCGATGTCACCGAATACGAAGTATTGGGCAGCGGCGATTCTCTTGGACATTTGGCGGTGAAAACAAAGGCCTCTACGGAAATGCTGAAAGTGCTTGAGGAGCATGTACCAAAATATTTGCTCATCGAGAACTATGCAGGCGATACCGCCGCCGCAACCGATGAAATCGAGGAGATATCTGATGAAATGGAGATGAAATTGAATTTCGAATAAGAAAATGTAGAATTAAATGAATAATAAAGAATAAAACAAAACGATTTCATGTGTATTGGGTTCTCTTGATGAAATGGAGATGAAATTGAATTTCGAATAAGAAAATGTAGAATTAAATGAATAATAAAGAATAAAACAAAACGATTTCATGTGTATTGGGTTCTCTTGTTCCATATAGCACTGCTGTGAAGCACATGAAGGGGTAGAGGAGCGAAGAGATGGAAAACAAGTAAAAACGCAGCTAAGGCCGGGACGAACTTTTAATACCCTCCACCACCATTTCGAAAGAAATTGAAAAATTTAAAAAAAAAAATCCGAAAACTACCACCCAAATGAAAACCGTTATATGGGGACTATACAAATACGTACACCAGCATACAAAATTTATATATATATATATATATATATATATATATATATATATATATATATATATATATATATATATATATATATATATATTTACCAGGTGGAAGAGAATTGTTTAAATAGGTCCACGATATCGTATGGCCCCCATTCAACGGTACCTACCGATATTCAGTATTTTCATGATTGTAGCTGCATTTTTTTATGGAACTTTCTGAAATTACACACAAGGAGTTCCTTCTGAGTACTTTAGCCCCTGGAAGAGAATTGCCTATATAGGTCCACGATAACGCATAGCCCCCATATAACTGTACCTCCGTATAATCGGTATGTTGATGATTTAAGCGACATTTTTGACCGGAATTGTTTCAAATTTCGTATTTAAAGCCGTAACGAGTACTAAAACCCATGCCAGAAGTTTGTCTATGCAGGTCCACGTCTTCGCATAGCCCATACACAGGGTATTATATCATTGTAAAAATTTAAAAAAAAAAATAATTGATCATCGAAAAATACGATTTTAAAGGATAAAATATGTTTTGGCCTATATCTCAGGGTCAAAAAAGGATACGCGTATATGGAAATCGTTAGAAAGGTGATTCCTTCTACTTTCCGAATATGCCTAACTGAGCGTTACCAGCACATGCCACTGTGAAAAATCTAGGAGGTTTAGGTCTAGAGCTACCATTAAAATGCTGACACTTCGTAAATATGTATAGGAAAGGATTGAACGTGTAATTAAAAAAACATTTAAAAAAAATTGTAAAAATAATATATTTTTGTACAAAAGAAAATTATGTTAAAATTCACAATTAGGTTGTTTAAACAGTTGTCATCAAGTAGGAATCAAACCTAGGTCGTTTTGAAATCAAACCAAACGGGGACGCTCGCTCATTCCACTAGCCAACAGATGTATGGGAACAGATGGATGTGAAGATAAAGTGGAAAGTTAAATTGGATGTTAACAGAACACAATTACTTAACAGAGCTCCATTAAGGACTTAACAGAGCTTTGTTAAAGCCTTAATAAAAAGAAAATTTTGAAAAACTATGGGACAAACCGTTTCAGACACCCGAATTGGGTCATATCTTTATTATGATGTAAAAACACGGAGTGGACCACTGTGCAAAGGCTATAAAAAGACCAGACTTTTTAGTCTGTTCCAGAGAAATGTTTGTTATAAAGAAAAGGATTCCTCATCACCGTGGGGTTGAACTTGGGTCGCTGGAACCAGACAAATATCCGGCGCACGCGGCTCCTCTAGGCTATATTCTTTAACAAAGCTCTCTCTGTTAAGGACAACAGAGCTCTGTCAAGTAACTGTGTTCGGTTACCATCCAATTTAACTTTCCAATTTATCTTCACACCCATTGGAGAACTCCATGCAAATATTCGAGTCGGCCATGCATCAACATGAGGGATGTTGTTGGCTGTCACTGCCTATCAAATACAAAGCCCATGATTTAGTAGACAAAAATCAGGGTGTCGAAAAAGCATAGTTCATACAATTCGTCTTGTGCTGGCCTTTAATGTATACCCATACAACAAATGGGCATAATAAAGATAATTATTATCTCATGTTTTGAGATAAAGAGAGAGAGAGAAGTGTTGAGAGAGAAGGCGAGAGATACAAACACGTAGTTAGGGAATTGCCCGATATTTTACGAACCATGGTACAAAAATACAGCTAGACCCAAAATAATAAAAATGAAATTTTAGGATAGAAAATTAAAAACCAAATACGTTTTAGGGTTAAAAACGAAGTACTGCATTTGTGTTAAAATTCTTCCACCAACCAGGATTGCAGAAAGGATGATGGCAAAGATAAACATATGTATGAAAGCTCTATTTTTAGTATACCTCCACCTTGGTATATTAACTTTGTCATTCCGTTTGTAACATCTCTAAATATACATCGTAGACACCATAAAGTAAAGTATATATTCATAATTCTAAGTCGATTTAACGATGTTCGTCTGTCTGTCTGTCTGTCTGTTGAAATCACGGTACAGCTCACATTATATGACGTACAGCGTAAAAATTTACCAGAACAATTTATACTGTGTCTAGGATTGTTGGAATTTAAAATGAGATATATCGGTCCATGTTTTGGTAGAGTACCCGTATAACGGTACCTTCCGATATTCAGTATTTCGAAGAATTTTGCCACATTTTTTTCACAGATTTGTCTGAAAATTGGTATTTGTTGGCCATAATGGGTTCTAGCTTCTGTGGCGAAACAATGTATGTATAGGTCCACGTTTTGGTATAGCCCCTTATAACGGTACATCCAGATGTTCGCTATTTTGTCACATTTTTCACGGATTTGTCTAAAAATTGGTATTTTTAGGTGATAATGGGTCCTAGTTCGTGTGGCGAAACATTGTATGTATAAGTCCACGTTTTGGTATAGCTCCCATATAACGCTACCTCCCGATATTCGGAATGCTGACAATTTTTGCCACATTTCTTCACGTATTTGTCTAAAAATTGGTAATTGTAAGCCCTAATGGGTTCTACTGTTTCATTTATCCTAAGGTGGAGGATATTAAATGTTCGGCCCGGCCGAACATAATGTTTTTTTACTTATTCTATATCCAGAAAACATTTGCTTCAATTTTGCCAAAAACAAAAACCCGCGAAAATTATACCTCTTTTTAGCGCTTTTTTCTGCGTGTTTTTTCGAGTAGATGCATAAAAGTAACACAAAACTTCAATGTAGAAAAAAATATTTCAAAAGAGGAAATATTCTACATCAAATTTCAACACAAATCTTCGAATAAACTATATATCTGGGCATAATAGTTTTGAAGAAAACTACATTCGAAATTTATGTATTAAAAGTGGAAATCAAAAGAAACCCATTTTGGAGTGTTAATTTTATGCGTCTAATCTGAGTCGAAATCTTGCAGAATACTTAAATTTTAAATAAATTAGAGAAAATTGTTTTCCATCAAATTTGACTGTATGTCACAAAAGGAAAGAAAGTTCTGTTTCCATAATCTGTCAAGAAAATATTGGTTTCAATTTTACAAAAAAAAAAAGAAAGCACCAGAAAATAAGTCTTTGTAAAGAAACACAAAACTTCGTTTAAGACAAAATATTTCAAAACTGCAAACATTCTACATCAGATTTCAACGCAAGTATCAGAATAAACTATATGTCGAGGTATAATAGTTTTAAAGAAAACTACATTCGAATTCGGGGTTTCAGTCCAAATCTGTTTTAACGACTTTATATAGAATTAACCATACACAAAAAGGCGCCAATATTTTTAGCTAACTTTCGCACAACTTGGAATAGAGTTTAGAAATTTGATAAATATATTCGTTTTTAATCTAGATACGGCGATACAAAATATGGGTCATATCCCACCACTTGGTGGCATAGCCTCCATGTAACTACTTTATTTTTAAGTTTTATGGATATTTTCCAAGTAATATCGGAAAATGTTCGCATTTTATATACTTCGTAAGTAGAAACTCTCTTTGCAAAATATTATCAATGTAGGTGTGCCCATTGCAACTACCTGTATTCATGTACAAAAGGCACGAATGAATGTTTGCACTGGATATATATGTGTGTGTGTGTGTGTTTCATGAGCATTGCAAATTTGTGAGATAATAAATAAAGAAGAGTTGCCACCTTTTCGATGACATTTGGTATTGGGGAATTTTGTTGTTATGGGAAATTGTGAAATAAATCATCGATCGATAACAACTCACATCGCTGTAAAATAAGTATAACAACATTTTAGATAGAAAGAATGTGATATGAAAAACAACTTCTGCAGTTTTTGTAAATTATTCAAATGCTCGATTTTTTCTATACTTAAAAATTTTAATCGAAATTTCTATTATCGAATCGCATTTTTATATTTATTATTTTTTTTAATTTTTAAATTATTATTTTTTTTATTTTGTAAAATGTTTGGTTAATAAATATGTTTGAAGTCTTCAGTTCAGAAAAAATTAATCGATTTTTTTTCTTTCTAATTTTTGTTTTCTTATTTAGAAGTAATTTTTTTTTTTTCAAAGGAAACTTTTGTTGCTGTCGATTTTTTTATTAAAAATAATTATTGAAATTTCTATTACCTATTTCTATAAGTTTTTACCGCCTTTTGATAATTTTTCTGTTATCATTTAAAAGTTAATAGTATATATTGCCTTTTTTTATTTTTTTAACGTTTGTCTAAAAAAACTATAGTTTTTAATTTTTTTTTTTAAATTTTATTGAATAAAAGCAAAATATGTCGGAAATAGCATCAAATTTTAGAATAAGTTTAGATTTGTTCGAAATGGTCACCTTTGGCACGAATTATGGCCTTCAAACGGCCAATGAAACCCGACACACGCTGCCCGAATGTTGCCCTGCGGTATTTTGGTCCATTCCCGGTGAAGCGACGCGCTTGCTTGAGGTGATCGACACTTTGGTATTTTTAGTGCCAACCTTGCTTTTCAAAATACTCCATACACAATAGTCCAACGGATTGGTATCCGGAGAGTTGGAAATGAAGCGAGGAACCTCATTTTGCAACTATTGTATTTGTAACTAACTTGAGTGAGTCCTGTTGGAATGTAAAAGGTCTGCGGCCAAAATATTTAAGTGCCCAAGGCTTTAATACTCCCTTCAGAATATTTTCGCCATAATAATAATAATATTCGGCACTTATTCTGATGCCACGGTCGATTATGGCGGCCCACACCATCACCATGGGTTCTGGTGGCCAACCGAAGGTGCACATTTTCAGCTGACCTCTTTGGCAGGTAAACACAATCTTTTTTTTTTTTTTTTTTGTTTACAAACTGCTGGACAACGAATTTTTTCTCATCAGAGACGGAGAAAACCAAATTCGGCAGTTCACCATTTTCGAACAAGCCAAGCAACTTTTAAGCTGTTTTCAGTTTATTTTCTTTCTGTTGCGGTGTAAGTTCTTGCACTTTTAGAATTCCAATGGCTTTACCCCGAGCTCATTTTTGAATATTTGCCGAATTTGCCGAGCCATTTTTCAGCCGCTGTGACACGGGTTTCGATCAAGTGGCTTCTATACTTCTCGAACCATTTCTGCTGATGTTGCTGTTTTCTTCCGTCCACTTCCTCGACATATGTCGGGCTACGCTATTCACATTTAAATTCTGGTGTGTTCTAACGATAGCCACTTGTGGTTTTTCAGCTAAATATAAAGAAATCACACTATCACGCTTGAATACTATCACGAATAACTTTGTTTTCGGAAAATTTTCACCAAAATGCTTTTGTACGCTTGTAAACAATATAATGAGCTGTCACGTGGAATAATTTTAACAGCTGTCAGACGAATGGCTTCGAAATGACAGTAGTCTGAAGTTAGTTGCAGTTTTTTATTTTACCCTGTATTTTTTGAAGTTTCCAGTTTTTTTTACATTTTCATCATTTTTTTCGAATTTTCGAATTTTTTCGATAAAAAAAAAAAAGGTTGAAAACTAAAAAATTAATTGTTTACAAAAATGTCGCTAATTTTAATTTTGTTGCCAATTTTCCTTTGGTTAAAAATTAATTCGATTTTTTTTAATGAATAAAAAAGCAAAACAATTGTTTGCATTTTTATGTAAATTTTTATGAAAAAGTAGATTATCGATTTTAGTTATCTTTTTTAGCAAACTATTTTCTTGCAATATTTTTTTTTTTATCGAAAAAATATGTATCGGAAAATAGGTTTGTTGAAAAGTTCACTTGAAGAAAATTAGCATTTTCCAAGTCGATTATTATTGAAAAATTGTTTATCGAAATATTTGTTATCGTTTTTTTTATTTTAAAATTTTTTATTTACTTATGAGTTTTTCATGATATATTTTTGATTTCAAATCTAATCTCGATTTTCACATACAATCCGGCAACACCACCTTTATACAAAAAAAAATTAATAGTAAATAAATAAACATAACAAAAAACTGCGGGCAGTTCCCTCTCTAGCTATCGAATAAATTGATTGTCGCTGTACAGCCACGAACGAACGCACTCAGTTCTGCGAAGTACACCAAGTGACTCACAACCCAAGCCGATCGCGATCCGTTGCCACAATGGAATCATTTTTAATGGAACCGTTTTTAAACAGCTCTTTGCAAATACAAATTCAACCAAAACAAAATTTTCATTTTCGTTTCGAAAGTGAATTGAAAAATACGCACGGCTTTATAACGGGACGAGGCGAGGCAGTGACGAACGGTCGGAATTGCTCAGTCCGCGATATATATCCCAAAATCCAAATGAGATTACCGGACAGTGCCAATCTCAACGACAATGGAAAGGTGAGACAGTTCTTTGTCTTATGCTCACTACACTCGTACAACGAGGAGAAGATCGCCGAGAAGAAGCCGCTTCACCTGTCGCCACACCTCCTGTTGCCCAAGAGTAAACGTAAAATTGACTATGCGTTCGTTTTTGAAAAGATGAAGGATTGCCAGGACGATGTGACAGGTAGGTATTGGGAGCTCGTCGATCATGTTATTGTGCGATCTAGAAAGAAAAACAACAAATATGGGGAGACGCTGCGGGCGAAGCAGCTTAAATACGAATCGTTGGGATTGCCGCTGCCATTCGATAAGCTGCAGTCCGATTTGGATTTGAATGAAATCACTCAAAGTGCCGGCTTAATTGTAAGTACAAGTCGATATTGGGACCAATCTGAAAAATCTGCTAAAAAATGTAATCGAAAATCATACATTTTTCTAGAAACGTTGTTCGATGACAAACAATTTCCGCAAAAAAAAATGGTTTCGACAACAACCCTTTCTAAACACATCAAATAGGTTTAACGATAACATCGCTTTTAATGGAACACACAACATCGTTTCCGATCGAAAACAAGCTAAAAAGTATCAGTTGGTTTTGCCGACAGATGTATACGCTCAGCTCAGCTAATGTTCGATTATTTAAATATATTTTGACGTCTGTTATGATTATTCAAATTCTCGACCCTCTATGGAGTAGGTTCCGCAGGAATGGGCCAATATTGTCCATGTCATATCGAACCTAAATAAATATTATATAAATATATCGACGTGCCAGGTGTGGACTATATTGGTGACATACTTTACTTTATATGAGATATCTTATAATTTTTCAAAAATGTTAAAATTCAGGGTGAGTTGAAAAAAATGCAACCAACTTCAGACTGCTGTCATTTCTAAGCCAATCGTCCGACAGCTTTTAAAATGATTCCAGCGACAGCTGATTATATTGTTTACAAGCATACAAAGGCTTATTTTTCAAGCACTTCCAGACCACTAAGCGTGGATTTTTTAAATATTATTTTTCAAGCACTTCCAGACCACTAAGCGTGGATTTTTTAAATATTATTTTTCAAGCACTTCCAGACCACTAAGCGTGGATTTTTTAAATATTATTTTTCAAGCACTTCCAGACCACTAAGCGTGGATTTTTTAAATATTATTTTTCAAGCACTTCCAGACCACTAAGCGTGGATTTTTTAAATATTATTTTTCAAGCACTTCCAGACCACTAAGCGTGGATTTTTTAAATATTATTTTTCAAGCACTTCCAGACCACTAAGCGTGGATTTTTTAAATATTATTTTTCAAGCACTTCCAGACCACTAAGCGTGGATTTTTTAAATATTATTTTTCAAGCACTTCCAGACCACTAAGCGTGGATTTTTTAAATATTATTTTTCAAGCACTTCCAGACCACTAAGCGTGGATTTTTTAAATATTATTTTTCAAGCACTTCCAGACCACTAAGCGTGGATTTTTTAAATATTATTTTTCAAGCACTTCCAGACCACTAAGCGTGGATTTTTTAAATATTATTTTTCAAGCACTTCCAGACCACTAAGCGTGGATTTTTTAAATATTATTTTTCAAGCACTTCCAGATCACTAAGCGTGGATTTTTTAAATATTATTTTTCAAGCACTTCCAGACCACTAAGCGTGGATTTTTTAAATATTATTTTTCAAGCACTTCCAGACCACTAAGCGTGGATTTTTTAAATATTATTTTCAAGCACTTCCAGACCACTAAGCGTGGATTTTTAAATATTATTTTCAAGCACTTCCAGACCACTAAGCGTGGATTTTTTAAATATTATTTTTCAAGCACTTCCAGACCACTAAGCGTGGATTTTTTAAATATTATTTTTCAAGCACTTCCAGACCACTAAGCGTGGATTTTTTAAATATTATTTTTCAAGCACTTCCAGACCACTAAGCGTGGATTTTTTAAATATTATTTTTCAAGCACTTCCAGACCACTAAGCGTGGATTTTTTAAATATTATTTTTCAAGCACTTCCAGACCACTAAGCGTGGATTTTTTAAATATTATTTTTCAAGCACTTCCAGACCACTAAGCGTGGATTTTTTAAATATTATTTTTCAAGCACTTCCAGACCACTAAGCGTGGATTTTTTAAATATTATTTTTCAAGCACTTCCAGACCACTAAGCGTGGATTTTTTAAATATTATTTTCAAGCACTTCCAGACCACTAAGCGTGGATTTTTAAATATTATTTTTCAAGCACTTCCAGACCACTAAGCGTGGATTTTTTAAATATTATTTTCAAGCACTTCCAGACCACTAAGCGTGGATTTTTTAAATATTATTTTTCAAGCACTTCCAGACCACTAAGCGTGGATTTTTTAAATATTATTTTTCAAGCACTTCCAGACCACTAAGCGTGGATTTTTTAAATATTATTTTTCAAGCACTTCCAGACCACTAAGCGTGGATTTTTTAAATATTATTTTTCAAGCACTTCCAGACCACTAAGCGTGGATTTTTTAAATATTATTTTTCAAGCACTTCCAGACCACTAAGCGTGGATTTTTTAAATATTATTTTTCAAGCACTTCCAGACCACTAAGCGTGGATTTTTTAAATATTATTTTTCAAGCACTTCCAGACCACTAAGCGTGGATTTTTTAAATATTATTTTTCAAGCACTTCCAGACCACTAAGCGTGGATTTTTTAAATATTATTTTTCAAGCACTTCCAGACCACTAAGCGTGGATTTTTTAAATATTATTTTCAAGCACTTCCAGACCACTAAGCGTGGATTTTTTAAATATTATTTTTCAAGCACTTCCAGACCACTAAGCGTGGATTTTTAAATATTATTTTTCAAGCACTTCCAGACCACTAAGCGTGGATTTTTTAAATATTATTTTTCAAGCACTTCCAGACCACTAAGCGTGGATTTTTTAAATATTATTTTTCAAGCACTTCCAGACCACTAAGCGTGGATTTTTTAAATATTATTTTTCAAGCACTTCCAGACCACTAAGCGTGGATTTTTAAATATTATTTTTCAAGCACTTCCAGACCACTAAGCGTGGATTTTTAAATATTATTTTCAAGCACTTCCAGACCACTAAGCGTGGATTTTTTAAATATTATTTTTCAAGCACTTCCAGACCACTAAGCGTGGATTTTTTAAATATTATTTTTCAAGCACTTCCAGACCACTAAGCGTGGATTTTTTAAATATTATTTTTCAAGCACTTCCAGACCACTAAGCGTGGATTTTTTAAATATTATTTTTCAAGCACTTCCAGACCACTAAGCGTGGATTTTTTAAATATTATTTTCAAGCACTTCCAGACCACTAAGCGTGGATTTTTTAAATATTATTTTTCAAGCACTTCCAGACCACTAAGCGTGGATTTTTAAATATTATTTTTCAAGCACTTCCAGACCACTAAGCGTGGATTTTTTAAATATTATTTTTCAAGCACTTCCAGACCACTAAGCGTGGATTTTTTAAATATTATTTTTCAAGCACTTCCAGACCACTAAGCGTGGATTTTTTAAATATTATTTTTCAAGCACTTCCAGACCACTAAGCGTGGATTTTTTAAATATTATTTTTCAAGCACTTCCAGACCACTAAGCGTGGATTTTTTAAATATTATTTTTCAAGCACTTCCAGACCACTAAGCGTGGATTTTTTAAATATTATTTTTCAAGCACTTCCAGACCACTAAGCGTGGATTTTTTAAATATTATTTTTCAAGCACTTCCAGACCACTAAGCGTGGATTTTTTAAATATTATTTTTCAAGCACTTCCAGACCACTAAGCGTGGATTTTTAAATATTATTTTTCAAGCACTTCCAGACCACTAAGCGTGGATTTTTTAAATATTATTTTTCAAGCACTTCCAGACCACTAAGCGTGGATTTTTTAAATATTATTTTTCAAGCACTTCCAGACCACTAAGCGTGGATTTTTTAAATATTATTTTTCAAGCACTTCCAGACCACTAAGCGTGGATTTTTTAAATATTATTTTTCAAGCACTTCCAGACACTAAGCGTGGATTTTTAAATATTATTTTTCAAGCACTTCCAGACCACTAAGCGTGGATTTTTTAAATATTATTTTTCAAGCACTTCCAGACCACTAAGCGTGGATTTTCAAGCACTTCCAGACCACTAAGCGTGGATTTTTAAATATTATTTTCAAGCACTTCCAGACCACTAAGCGTGGATTTTTTAAATATTATTTTTCAAGCACTTCCAGACCACTAAGCGTGGATTTTTTAAATATTATTTTTCAAGCACTTCCAGACCACTAAGCGTGGATTTTTTAAATATTATTTTTCAAGCACTTCCAGACCACTAAGCGTGGATTTTTTAAATATTATTTTTCAAGCACTTCCAGACCACTAAGCGTGGATTTTTTAAATATTATTTTTCAAGCACTTCCAGACCACTAAGCGTGGATTTTTTAAATATTATTTTTCAAGCACTTCCAGACCACTAAGCGTGGATTTTTTAAATATTATTTTTCAAGCACTTCCAGACCACTAAGCGTGGATTTTTTAAATATTATTTTTCAAGCACTTCCAGACCACTAAGCGTGGATTTTTTAAATATTATTTTTCAAGCACTTCCAGACCACTAAGCGTGGATTTTTTAAATATTATTTTCAAGCACTTCCAGACAGACACTAAGCGTGGATTTTTTAAATATTATTTTTCAAGCACTTCCAGACCACTAAGCGTGGATTTTTTAAATATTATTTTTCAAGCACTTCCAGACCACTAAGCGTGGATTTTTTAAATATTATTTTTCAAGCACTTCCAGACCACTAAGCGTGGATTTTTTAAATATTATTTTCAAGCACTTCCAGACCACTAAGCGTGGATTTTTTAAATATTATTTTTCAAGCACTTCCAGACCACTAAGCGTGGATTTTTTAAATATTATTTTTCAAGCACTTCCAGACCACTAAGCGTGGATTTTTTAAATATTATTTTTCAAGCACTTCCAGACCACTAAGCGTGGATTTTTAAATATTATTTTTCAAGCACTTCCAGACCACTAAGCGTGGATTTTTTAAATATTATTTTTCAAGCACTTCCAGACCACTAAGCGTGGATTTTTTAAATATTATTTTTCAAGCACTTCCAGACCACTAAGCGTGGATTTTTTAAATATTATTTTTCAAGCACTTCCAGACCACTAAGCGTGGATTTTTAAATATTATTTTTCAAGCACTTCCAGACCACTAAGCGTGGATTTTTTAAATATTATTTTTCAAGCACTTCCAGACCACTAAGCGTGGATTTTTTAAATATTATTTTTCAAGCACTTCCAGACCACTAAGCGTGGATTTTTTAAATATTATTTTTCAA